GCAACGGTATCGCGAGCAGCAACAGTGTTTGGACTGGTGTAATATTTGGTCAGAAGCAGTCGTAGTAGAGGTGGTGGTAGTAGTAGTAGTAGTAGTAGTAGTAGTAGTAGTAGTAGTAGCACTAGTACTAGTACTACTAGTACTACTAGTACTACTACTACTACTACTACTACTACTACTACTATCAGTAGTACAAGTAGTAGTAGTAGCAGTAGCAGTAGCAGTAGCAGTAGCAGTAGCAGTAGCAGTAGCAGTAGCAGTAGCAGTAGCAGTAGCAGCAGTAGTAGTAGTAGTAGTAGCAGTACAAGTAGTTGTTGTTCTAAGAGTTCTGGTAATAGTAGGAGTACTAGTACTATAGTTCTAGAATTTGTAGCAATAGTAGCTTTACATTAGTAGCCGTAGCAGTAGCACTAGTAGTAGTCGCCGTCGTCGTAGTGGTAGCAGTAGTAGCAGCAGCAATTGTAGTTGTTGTAAGAACGTCCATCTCGAGCATTCCGTAGGCACCCCCCCCCCAACCCTGTGGCACAAAAACACGACATCCCCCTGCTTGAAGCGTGGATACCTAGAGGTCAAAGGAATTCAGGCCACAGGCTCTAAAAGGTTGCTATGAATATTGTCAGTAATTGCTGACTTAATTTGTGCTCTTGCTGTCGCTGTCCTGACTAGTGTTCTTCTCACCCTCATTCTTGCTGCAACATTATCGCTTTTCTTTTGCTGACCTTATGTTACGGCGATGCTTCTTCAGGCCCTCCGTGCCTCCCCTAAGCGCAGCAGATCCCCGGCGCTCGCTTCTTGGGCTTCGGTCGCCGGGCGATACGCGGGTCATGCTCCGCTGGCAGGCCCCGCACCTTTGTCTTGCGCTTTACCTATACCCATAGGCCCCTAAGTAGTTCCTGTTTACGGTTTATATTTAGAATCCTATAAGTTTATAACGTAATCCCAAAAAGGAACTACTTAGGGGCCTATGGGTAGTCCCATTGTCGTTCCTTTTCTCGGTTTAAATATTTTGTTATTATGTAGGATCCTATATAGTAACCCAGAAAGGGAACTACACTGGAGAGATTAGGTAGAGCTGGGTCGGCTGCGCAACCTGGTTCGAGATTAAGGTGTTCTGGTCACAGCAAAACTGCCACGTGTTGACTTCATGAGGATACCGATCCGAGATAAGGGCGTCATCCAGAGTGAGACGAGTGACAAGTCAAGCAACGCGTGGGAAAACCAGTTTTGCCACGGAAGTTGTCTTTGAAACGCTCGGTGTTGGGGAATCGAAGTGGTAACTATCAGTAACATAGTGTGGGCATTTCCGGCTGCTAGGGTTCCTCGAAATCTGAACCCCCACCCTTAGTGGAGGCTGTGCAGGAGCTTCGTAACAACAGCGCTCGACTTCGTCCAAAGCGCACGTTTATAGCACGGCCGAGGGAGCCGGTCACCTGACGCGCACCGTCCTACCACCGTCTCTGGTGGTCAGTTTGTTCCAGAACCTATGGTCCTGAATTCCATGACAGACTGGAATGCTCTTGGAGCCCGGGAAAACTTGATTAAATACCCACAGACGTCGGTTGTCTACAGAGAACCATCGCCCCTCGTGTCGCACAACCGTGATGCGGGGAATTTGCATCAAAGTCTTCTGATCACTCATCAATTCGCTTCTCATCTGCATCAACGTGCGTCCATCCTGGAAAGATCTTTTGATGGAGTCTTGGGTATAGAAAATCTCGTCAAGTCGCAGCCGGTCCCCGTCTTGGATCGCCACCGAGGAGGACAGGCTCAAGCTCGACAAGAGCGCGGTCAGGTCACGAACTTTCGGGGCAGGCGTCCGCGCCTGCGGCCGGAAATCCAGCCGATCTGCTGACTGGGATGGCTTTTGCTTTTGCAGCTTCTTCACTGAGGTAGTGTGAGTGGCTCCGTCTCGAAACTCAATGAGGACAGAACCAACAACGTCTGCAAGAACTCCCTTGATTGTGGCACGTTTGCCAAAGAGGGAATTCACCGAGCCAACGTAGTAAAGCTCATCTCCGACACTAAACATGCTTCCAAACAGCTTCGGCTTGCTCAGCGCGAAGCTGGAAGTTCTAATTGAAAATTCATCCTGAAATGTGAGGCGAACACTAGTGGAGTCCGGCAGGAAACTGCTAATCTCGGCAGCCTGCCCATAGTAGGATGTTCGGGTCACAAACCGACTAGCTGCATGGGATCCGGTATAATAGACTTTCTGGTGCAACACGAAGCCACTGGAGTGCTGTGGCTCGGCTACACGAAGCCGTTGGTGGCATGTCTTGATTCGTCGACCATCCTCGAGCTGCACCAGGACATCCCTGCTGCACGCGGAATCCACCCGACCAACAACCATGACCTGCTGCCCAAACAAGGCCAAACCGCCATCTGCGCTTGTACCTCGCCCAGCATAGTGCACCCGCTGCTTCCTTCGAAATCCGCCAGGTAGCCGTGGCTCTTGAAGAGACCAATTTGTAGTGCAGCGCAACTTGCCATCCTCAAAGCGAAGCTGCACCTTGCTCTTTGGGAACCTCTGCACAACATGCGCAGGGTGACCAAAATACTGCAATCCGTCCGATGGTCGGTCGCCGGTCCATGCCCCGGTGTAGAAGACTCGCTCGCCAACACGTGTAGCCATGCTTCAAGGCTGCTGCGCTTGAGCCTCGAAGCTTCTCGCCGCGTACGCATAAGCAACTGCCATTGTTTCTCTAACCTACAGCACAAGGGATGCTCGCTGCTTAGAATTGGATATGCCACGTGGCCATGGTCAGCATTTCTTTGAAGAGTGCCTGCCCTGCATCCAATGCTAAACTGCTAAACCAACCCTCAAACCCTAAACCCGGGCCTTGATGAAAGTGGGAAGCCGGTTCCCTAAACCCTAGACCCTGAAACCTGAACCCTAAACCCCTAAACCCTAAACACTGAACACTAGCCCAGGCCTTGACGAAAGTAGGAAGCCGGTTCGGATCGTCTTCATCATCCATCTCAGCCGGCTGCGCCTCGAAACGAAGGAGAGCTTAGGGGACTTTAGGTGTCTTAGGGTTATAGGGTTTAGGGTTTAGGGTTATAGCGTTTAGGGTTAGGGTTTAGGGTTATAGGGTTTAGGGTTATAGGGTTTAGGGTTTAGGGTGTCCTTCTTCGCTAAACACCCTGGAACCTAGTTGAGATTATTTGGAAATGCAGGGTGCTGTGCCAGAGGACTTCGCAATTAAGGGTGGGCATGATTCGCTCCGACGACCCTGAACCTGAAACCCTGAACCCTCGCATCGAAGCTTCGTTATTCACCGCTGGAGGCTGCAGTGGTTGGATTCAGGGCTTAGATTTCTTAGGGGTTAAGATCTAATCTAGGAGTGTTACTTCCGGAGCTTGGCCTCATGGCCTTTAGGATTTACTGGTTGAGAACAGAGCTGTTTTGGTCAGAGGTGGGCGGCTCCTTCGCGACAGCTCGGGTTCGGGAGGAACGGCTCTTACTTGTCCAGTATCTTAGGGGATGTAAAGGCCAAACTGTGAGATCCTTTAAGAAGGATTACAATATCCCAAGACGGTTAAAAGCTACCTGCTTTACTGCTAAGGGCTTGCGCTTTCTCGGAAAGGTCAAGATCGTCTTCGGATATTGAGTGCAAGGTCGCCTTACAGCATAGGGTTTTAGGGTTTAGGGTCTAGGGTTCAGAGGAACAGTGGACGAACCTACTATAGTCACTACAGTGTCCTTCATGATAAGAACCGAGTCATGGGGCTCAGGAACACTATAAGTAGCTACCATGAGCCGCCAACCTTAAACTCCAGAACCAATGTGCTGTTTCTTGCGCAGAACTCTGTTAGAGTGTTCTATGAGATCGTTGATGTGTCGATGCTGGCTTGGTCGAACAATGGCAGAAGTCAGAAGCTCGAGCACGGCGGCTTTCAGGGGTGGCTTGGGGTTTCATACTAACGGTTTCAGGGGGTTTAGGGTTTAGGGTTTAGGGTGTTTCCTTGTTTAGGTTTTAGGGTGCCCGCCCGCGACTGCAGTTCAAATGGCGTTTCAAGTGCCTCGGGGCGAGAAACGAAAGGCCACGCCTCAAGATCATAAGCTAGGCACTAAAACCTAAAAACCCTAAACCTAAAAGCCCTAAACCTTAAGAACCCTTCCACAAAGCTCTTCGACCCTAAACCCTAAGCCCAACCCTGAAGTGCCTGCGTCAGATTGGTTCCAGCACGGTTGGGGCCCAACGGTGCTCCCGGAGCCATCCTAACCTGAGGAATCCGTTTGGGATGCAGTGAAGGTGCCGTAATGCTCAGAATAGTGTTCCGATGCTTAAGTGTAGTAGACACTGTTATGTGGAGGATCTAGTGCCTTGTGCGGCGGTATGGGCCCTGAATAAGTAGACTGGCCTCTTGGTAGGTTTCTTTACTATGCTAGGGAACCTGAGCAATGACTTGCCTGTTTAGTCAGACTTCTCGAATTGTCGGGACGAGGTAAACCCTGAGCCCCCAAACCTCTCCAAAGCTCTCCCTCCCCCCCCTCCCCTCCCAACAACACAACCAACCAGGACATGACACCCTGACGGAAAAGCCCCAAATCCTTACTCCAGGACTGTTCCCTAAATTTCATAGTAGAGATCCTCAAGAATTCTCTGGCTGAAAAGAGATGGCACTTCCTAAACCCTAAAACCTAAACCCCTAAACCCCTAAGCCCTTACTAAGCCCTAGACCCTAAACCCGAAACCCTTTAACCCTAAACCCTAAACGCTAAACCCCTGAACCCCTGAGGTTTTTTGGTCTGTTTCCGCTTAGGCGTTGCTCGAAACCCCACGTCTGCCCCTCCCATGGGACTGCAGGGAACGGAGGAAGGGTGCTGCTGCACGGTCTCTGGCTTCTGGACATATGCATGGCCGGGCAGGTAGGCTGGATGGCCCATTGGCTGCACAACCTGGCTCCGCTAATCAGGGTTTAGGGGTTTAGGGTTTTAGGATTTGAGGGTTTTAGGGTTTTGGGGTTTTGGGGAAGCGCGGGGGTCTCTTTCTTCGGGACGTCATACCGGGGGTCTCTATTGAGGGGGTCCTTCCCATCAGGATAATACTGCTTAGAGCCTACATCTGGGCCTCCATAGGAACCTCTCGAAGAATGCTGTGCAAAGTGTAAGCAAGCTTGAAAAGGCTTGCGTCGGGATCACACGCTTGCTGCATTGAGTTCATGAGATCTGTCGTCGGGTGCTTTCAGCAGCCCTTGAGCAATAGCATGCTCTAATAGCTAACTTGAAGCGAAACCATAATTCAGAACAGCTCAAGGCAGTCAGCTTCTGCTGCAAAAAAGTCTTCGTAGGGTCCGGACGAGGTTCTGTCGCCATGCGGAACAGAGAAGCTATAGGCATCTTCAACACGAAGGGCCCTACAACCCGAAACCCCAAAGCCAACAGCTCTAAACCACCTTGTCAACCCCTAAACCTTCGAACCCCTAAACGTAAAGCCTAACCCACATGTGCTGGCGACCTGGGCGTGGGCATACGCATTGTCCGGCACTGCAGCCGCATGATACTGTGTCTGTGGCTGCTGCACAGAAGGCACCTGCTGAAAGGGTTGTCAGAGTTTAGGGTTTAGGGGTTTAAGGTTCAGGGTTTAGGGTTCAGGGTTTTGTGGTTTCGGGGTTTAGGGTTTAGCGTCTGGACAAAGAAGGATTGTCGCTATGCCTGCAGCGTGGTTCAACTGATGTCCTTGACGTCAAGAATCGCTTGAAAAATTCCCGAAGGACCGAAACTGAAGCTACATACTTCGCGTTCAGGGTTTAGGGTTTTCTGGAGAACAAGCTTGCGCACCCCCCCTGAACCGCAAACCCTGAGCCCGAACCCTCCAAACGGTGTTGAAGTTGTCCGTCTTGTGCTGAGGATGGCCGCTATCGTTGTAATGAGCTTAAGCTGTGTTGGGTCCAGCCTTCTTCTGAATTTCAAAACATCTCATGTATCTTTCTGGTGCAAAGACTCGCTGAAGGGGTGCCGTTTGCTGTGGCGGAGGGCTGCCAGCTTTTCAGTCAAACATCCGGAATGTTTCGGACCCTGCTAACACATCCCGGTTCCTCGGACGGTATCGAGTTCAAGAGGCTGAAATGGGAACCAGACCAAAAAACAGCGGCTGAAAGCTGAAGAACCCTCATAGCGGGGTGGGTGCCGGCACCTGCTGCACCTGCGCTGTGTAGGGTGACTGTGCGGGCTGGTAGTAAGCAGCCGGTGCCGGCGCGGGTGTATATGGCTGCGCTGCATAGTGCCTGAGTGCAGGCGAAGCCTCTACTTTATAAATTAGGGTTTAGGGTTTAGGGTTTAGGGTGGAATTCGAGGAATGGTTGTCAGAAACCGGACGATAACTAATCAGGCCAAGTGGGGTTCCATTCACAAGAAGCAATATATGCATGAGCAGTAATTGCAAGAGTCGTGAAGACAGATGACAAGCAGAACGGCGCAAAACGCACAGACACAGACATGCAAACGGGCTGCCACAGGCTTGCTTTCATGGCACGGAGCATCGGTGGATCATGATTGCGACTCAAGGACCAAGATTTCGATTCTGTAGGACTTATAGGGCCTTCGGGTGTAACGGATTACTTAGGGATAACGGTTTGGAGGTTGATATGCGCGCCAACTCGGAAGACTGCCTGTACAAGTTAATCCAAAAGGCTACCGGACGCTTTCTTACAGGTAGGCCCATAAGCTACCTAGACCCCAAAAGTATGTAGAATAAAGGCCCTTTAATGGGTCTTAGGCCATTATTTTACCAACTTGTGGGGGTTTAGGGAGGGTTCAGGGCTTACGGGTACCGGTTGAGGGTGGAAGTTGTGGGATTGAATCTAGACCTTAAGGACGAAAAGGACCCTAAAAGGGTTTAGGGTTCATATACCATACAGGGATTCATAGTATAAGGGTATAGGGCCCCTACTTTTAAGGGTCATTTCGTCCTTAAGGGACACCATACTCCAAACGCTGGCTTGTCAGCTTTCAGCGAATGATGCGTTATGCCGAAGTGAAATGCAGAAGCAAAGCCATAAACTATGGAATCGAACAACACCGAGTCATACAAACACCAGAGCGGCACCTCTATAAATAACAGATGATCGCAGGTACTATTGGAGCCTTAATCGCCGTAATAATTGCTTACAAGTGGGTGTTTGGTGCATATTACAGCATTAATATAGGGACTACAAGACCATTTACGGGCATCGTATTTGCAATTGTTCCGACCCCGTCTGTTAGAAGGGACGGTGGGTCCAAAGTTGCCGGGGCACTGAGGGGTCGCCAGCTGCATCGGCTGCGCAAAACCACCTTGATGACTACATATCATATAGTCTCCATTGTGGTTCCTTGTTTTGGTTAGCCACCTTTATGGTTAGGATCTCTTTTTCTATAACACAAAACAGTAACTACGATGGAGACTACAGGTATATTGAAAGAGGGTCTCGGGTAGGGTTTAGGAGTTTAGGGGTTTAGGATTTCACCTGAATATCCCATGAAAGTTAAAATACCTCGTCTAAGGGATTCCTATCTCAAGACGGGGTGGGGCGTAGGGCCTTGCCCAAGGTATCAGGCCGTAATCTGGTTCTTTACAGAAGTACGAACTGAAGTACGATCGTCTGTTCTTCGACAAGACTTACATCAGAACAGCCACGCCAACACATGCGCGCAAAGAAGGCAAGTCTATGCACGGGAGCCTCTCAACGATACCCCTGGGGATCTCCAAATCCAAATGCCGTAGACCAAAACTAACTAAGGCCCAGATGGCCATCAAGGCCTAAACGAAAGACAACCTTAAAGCACAGCAAAAAGTAAAGCCAAAGCCCAACTCGAACCCCTAGGCTTCTGAGTTTTCTGGATTCGGCTACAATGTTCTCAGGATGGCCGTAAGCTCGTGAAAGCTGGGACATGGATTGCACGATTCCTGCTCGGATTTCCTATGCTTCATGGCATCATGATCGGGGAATGAAGGTTCATTTTGCGCAACTACATTACAGCACTGGCCGTGGAGCTTTTCAAGACATATTCCGACCACATAAACTTCAAGTCTACACACCTTCCCCTAACACCCCCCCCCAGCGGGCCTTAATCATTACACTAGGGCTTCCGGGAATATTGTAGTGTGTAAGTGAAAATGCGGACATTTAGGGCCACTGTTGCTAGTTTTCCCGCCCCCCCCCCCCCATAATTGAGGCGATCTTGGCATGTAGTTCGGTCTGTGGCTGAAGCCTATCTTGAAGAGGCCTAATTTCTTATCACTTGTCCACAACCATGCAGCCCTGTCGCCGCTCATGGCTCCGTACGGCTGTTGGTATTGCGGTGTCGCCGGCTGGTAGTACGGCAGCTGCCCCCCACCAGCATATTGCCTGATTAACTCGGGTGAGGTGCAGACATTGGGATTGAGAGTTTCGCTGGGGCCTGTCATAGGTCCATGCTTGCAGTGCTGATCGCTATGTCATGATGGTCAGCGATGTTAAGTTGATAGGGGACTACCGTGGACTCAGCATAGGCGCAGTAGTGCATCAGCCTTGATGCAACGGCAAGTCAACGGGTAACCATGCCTAATGTAGGGGCCTTAAAAATAAGAATAGGGTTTTGGGGTATATTCTACTATAATTATACAACAAGGAATTACAAAAACTGTTCAGGCCCCTATATTAATCCTCTTTACAATCTTGCTACCATCGCCCTCCACAGAAGACATGAGGCCTCGACGCTGCAAAGAAACACCCCTAGAGCCCTGGAGTACATAAGAGCGCAAGATAGCAGCTCAACATACATGTAAGGTTCAGGGTTTGGGGCTTTTGCAAGATAATTTCTCAGCAAAGGGGTGTTTACGCGTCGAAAATCCCTATTGAGGGGGGCGGCGCGACTCGACCCTTCGAACCTCGAGGTGCGTACCCGAAGGTCACTTCACTACGTGTGATTGCCTTACAGATGGCACCTGCAAGGGTTTGGCAAAAGCTTTGTAGGGTCTTTAACTGATAGCGTTTATGGAGAGACAACCTTGTCACGAGCATGGACAGCGGTAACGGCCAGCCTGGCAGACTTTCGCAGCAATCATTAAAGCTTGCATGTTGAGTTCTGAACAACATCCGAAGGTACAAACCAAAATGGTAAAGTCCTTTAAACTCACAAAACAATCCAAAGCCCTGAACCCCTAACGCGAATCTCTTATAAGCCCCAAATCCTAAACGCCGGAAGTCGAGACACACATACATCGGGGGTGGCCCGGCGTGTCGTCCACAGGTCGGAAGCCCACCACCCGTTCCCCTACAGCTCCGCTGATTTTTGGATCCCCAATGGCTGCGGTGGCCTGGAAATCAATCTTGCAGGTTTCGGCATTGCGGATTGAAGGCGTCTTTTGCTTTTCTTTCAGGGGCTTTGGTTCACCTTAAACCCTACCTGGACCGTAAAGAACCTACCTTTTTAGGGTTCCTGATTATGAATTCTTTATACAAGTCCTTAAAACGGTAGGTTTTTTTGGGTCAAGGTAGACCCTAATGCCGTTAGACCCCTCATGACCCCCCCACGAGCGCCCCTTTTCGGGTACTTATAAACTCAACAAAATACCGGTTAAGGTAAACCCTAAACCGTCTAATGACGAGGAGCCCGGGTTTCGCTAGGCCCTCGAGAGTTGCTTCAGCGGTGCGGCTTGGAGCGTCTCTTCCAGGTGATGTAGGGGCCTTAATAATTAAAATAAGGTTTTGGGGTTTATTTGACTATATTAATAGTTATAATAAGGAACCCCCAAAACAGTATAGATACCTACAGTACCCTGCATTTCAGGGCTGGGGGCTGTTCCACTAAAGCTCCGTTGAAGGAGTTGATTCCTAGCCGCAGAACCTCCACAAAAGTTAAACCATGCAGACTCAACCAGAACACCAAACACAAGTTCCGTTTTCTCCTGTTGAATGTCTGCTAGGTCGGCTAAGTAAGAACTTCGTACGACGGCTACCGTAACAACCCGAAGATTGTGACTGCAGTTACCCTCATCTTTCGAGTGTTTTGTACAAAATCGACCTCAGAAATCCTCAGCAGAGGTGTTGATGAACGAAAAGCAACAATGCCAAGCGTACGCAGTGAGTCTGGGTGGCGAAGCTTTGCATCGGTCTCCGCTGACTTCGACAAGGCATCGGAGGCCTCGGAACTCGGAACCATGGAAGGTGCAATACGGTTGATGATAGAAATCCTGCATTATACCCATAATAAGGAATATACAGGAATTCCCATAGCTTATAGGGTCCTTAAATTAATGCAAGATTTCTATCATCAACAGTATTTCTCAACCCTTATAAGCCTTAACCTGAACCCTAAACCCTGAACAAATAATCCCTAAACCCTGAACCCTTACTTCGCTACCAGAAATTCCCTTAAAAGAAACCCCTACTTTCTACTATGCACCCCAAACCCGGTAGGCACTCAAGATTCTTAGGGGCCCAGCCCTAAACTCCGAACCCCACAACGCCAATGGTCTGGAGCCTCAAACCGAATAAGTCACGATAGTAAATCCCTCTGGGTCTAGGGTTTAAGGTTTATGGTTTAGGGTACTGCCCCCCATAGAGTTAGAGTAACCGTCTATAATAGGGCTACTATTAAGGGCCTTATATATCCATATTCTTAATATTACTCAACTGTAGCTGAGTGGGGGCAGCACCCAAGGTAAAATTCCTCTGGGTCCATGTACCCATGCTTTTGCGGGTTCCTAGAAGGGTTCCTATAAGGGCTTTAAGGTAATATGGGAGCCCCCGCGAGGCCTAAGTATGCACGATGTAGGCACAAGGACCCTCACACCCTAAACCCTGAGAACATATATTAGGGTCCCTGTTAGGGTCCTTTTATAAGGCTACCCAGCATATGGCACACTTATCGACTTAGACCCCTTCTTGGAATCCTTGGCGGAAACCTTAAAGGAACCCTTTAAGAGGATCTGCAAAAGAACCCCTATAGAACCCTGTTGATCGTTCACGTCCTACACCCTAAACCCCTAAACCCCTAAACCCTAAAACCCTAAACCCCTAAACCCAAAACCCCTAAACCCTAAATCCCTAAACCCCAACATTGGGGTTCAGAAGAGGCGCCTGGCCCATGCTGCCACTTCCAGAGCTTCCGGCAAAGGTCGGAGGAAAGTCATCCGAATCGCTGCGAGCAGTGTTTAGGGTTTAGGGTTTAGTGTTTAGGGTCTAAGGTTTAGGGTTTAGGGTTTAGGGGTTTAGAGTTTAAGGCTTAGGGTTTAGGGTTTAAGGTTTAGGGTTCAGGGTTCTACATCGCCCTCTGGGCAGACATCTGAAGTCTTCATGGCTTTAGCCTATGCCTGACATGGCTTCTGCCGATCATGGCAATAGCCTCAAAGGACTTCGTTCTTTTTTCAGACTCCCCTAAACCCTAAACCCTAAAGCCTAAGCCCTAAACCCTAAACCATAACATGAGGCGTTGGGCTTTCAGCTGCAGTGTAGTTTCTCTTAGGAGTCCACTGACAGCAGCCTGACCCGGCGCGGCTCGTGAAGCCCGCAAGAGAGCACCAGTGGGTGCGCTTTTTCTTCGTGGACGAGGGGCTGTACCGTGACAGGAGGCCTTTTCGTGTCATATTCCCCACCTTGGTATAGGTGGCTGGAATTTTTCCCTTTGAGGGATACCTTTGCTTATCCGGACTGCCTGCCCCGAGGCTGCTGTTCCCTGGATATTGATCTGAGCTGTACCTCCTTGGAGGCTCTGACTGGGTATCTCTACAGTTTTGTATTGTGCATGCACACTGGTTTGGTTGGTTTCTTTTTCATCCTGCTGGTTGGCTTTGCAGATCGATACGATTACACTGCGTGGAAAGGAGCCAGCGTGGCACCGTCGGGAGCGAAGACTCCGGACTGTGGCGAGGACTCTGGTGCGAGCAGCGCAGTCAAGGTGGATTTCAGTGCCCGGGGCGAGACTTGCACAGGCGAGAGCCCTGTTGGCGAAACACCACAGCAGCGGCGGAAGGTCATTCCCGCCAGCAGCCATGGCACAGCCGGCTTGGAAATGCCAGCAGTGCCGACAATCCGTGAGAGGGAGCTTCCAGTTTTGCCCGGGATGCGGGCAACACTGGCAGAAGGTGGCTTCGTACGACGAAGCCGGGGCTACTACCTCACCCTGGCCCTCGCCCAGTTCAACACCTTGGAGGCCTTCAGTTTCGCCAAGGAGACGTGCGGACCGTGC